GCACGACTGACCAAGCTTGACTTATTTCCTCTAGATTACAGACAGCTACGCGGTAACCTATTACAGGAATTTCGCATGTTGCGGGGTCAGGATTGTTGCCTAGCATCCAAAGATTTACTTGAGCTGGCACCTCTACTAGATTGCGCGGACACCTTCTCAAACTACGTGTGACTTGGGCAAGATTGGACACACGAAAATTCTTCTTCTCTAAGAGGATAATTCAGGCATGGAATGCTCTGCCCGCAGACATTGTCATGTCTCCATCTGTGGTCACGTTTAAGATGAAGTTGTACCAGTATAGCAAACACCTCTAAATTGAAGCCATAGTAATTACATTCATTAAAAAACATACTGCTCACTATTTTTCAGCAATATGCTTGTTTAGAATAACAGCTGATGATCGTGGTGGGCCCCCGTGTTTCGTCCTCTGGTCGGCAGACCCAGTAACCAGCAAGGGCGTGTGATGGGCGCATCTCCGACACTCAGTGATGTTCCCGTGACCTCCACGATTTTCTCCTCGTTTGACGCTTAGGATATTGAAAAAAAACCGCGATGGACTCCCCCAGTCATGTTTCAAACACCTTCAGCTGCAGCCCAGTTAATTTGCATATACCCTTTCCCCCCCATGGGCGACAGTTTTTCTCCTTAAAATCCCGCAAATTGCATTCAGACCCAGATTTATGAACAATGCCTAAGGAGTTTTTTTTACTATCTACCTTTCTTACGCAGTTCCATTACTGGCAACGCTACATGTTCTGCATCATAGCTGCTCTGTACCAAGAGGGAGTTCAAAGGCATTTACCTATATTTCCCTTATAAAACCTGACCTGAGTTCAAGGCTCGAGTAAGGCACCACAGGGATCTGGGTATGACTGGTTGACGACGACTAATAAGCCAAAAATGACCATTCCAGTCTCCCTTGTCTTCGCCAGAAATATTATCTGTCTATACGCAAAGTTGTTTTGCGGTTTTGTTATTCAAACTCACTTCATTTATTGAGTTATTTTTTTGTTTATTTTTTAAATTTCTCTGTCAATTCCGTTGCCATACACAGGCCTAGAAGAGTACATTTGGCCTACATCTGCCAATTTTACATGTTTTCTTGCACACATTTCACTGTTAATCCACGACGTGGTTCCACCTTGGGGTGGCTAAGGGGACTTAAATAACTTTCTGTTATCACAGCAAGTTTACAAATTGAGACAGAAATCAACACCGCTCTGAAGATGAGAGATAGACAGCACACAAGCACAAGATATGACCTAGGAAGATGACTGGACCGCGCGTACCGGGTTGAGGACTCTTGACGGCGGTTGGCGGGCTGGTGGGTGCAGCAGCGGTGTGCGGGGCGCGGGAAATGAGGTTGCGTCCGGCGTACTGGATCACCAACCGCGAGAGGGCTGCGTCTGAATCAACCTCCGGCGTGACCAGTTGCCAGC